CCAATGTTGTCACTAGTATGAACTTCACTGTCTTTTATAATTCACACAGCGACCCATAACGTTAAGTTTGCACCGATGTTTTTCTTGGCCAAAAGGTTTGCTTAAATTTTGTTGTATTTGGGACAGTCTTGGATGACGCGATCTTTTGTCTCAGATGCCAATCCACATCTGCACATAGCTGATTAGTGACTGCCAAGCCGATCGTGTCCTGTTCTAAAGCGCAGAATAATAACTTGCTCTGATCTGTCCATGATATGGTCATCGTCTTGTCCCAATTTTGGTGGCTTTCTGATTGATTTCATTATACCCTTCTTCTGTTGAAAATAAATCTTTAACTTACTTGCAGGTACTACACCATGGGTTCTTTATGTTGTTTAGAGTCTTTGGATATGATCTGTCTAACCGACTAAAATGTGTATGACCTGATTACTTTAGAATGTGTTTTCTATCTGATGTTTGATTGTACTCTCATAGGGACCCACCTCAGCTCTCTGCCCATCTACCCACTGACCATGAAGGATATGGCAGTGGCCAGCATTTTCTTCTTCGTTGGCGTGATCGTCTCATTGATTTTCCTGGTCGTGGAAGTGATTCACTACGCGGTCACCAAGAAGGTGAGTATCTGGGTGAGTACCTCATCAAAGCCAGGTAAAATGAAGAAATCAAGTACCTCGCAGACTTCCTATTGCCACATAGGTAGAATAACAACAGCCCACCAACACTGGACTGCAAGTTACTTTATAACTGTTTCGTGGTGTGCAGTATAACTGGGCTATATGGCTGTACGGTTAAACAGATTTTTCGGAGATTTTTCGGAGATTGTACTTATATAATACTCATTCTTCATATGTTAATTCTACAGAATGCACACTTGAAGGGATAAAACGTGAAATAAAAAAAATGCAGCATGTACTGAGGTCTGTAGTGAGGCACCTTCCCCCGGCTCTTCTCTCACCACCTCCAACCCCCTACAAAATGTCCATGTAAAGTATACTTATGTCTCTAGTACCTTTGAAACTTTAGGTAACAAGAACAAATGACTCTAGCACTCCTCAAAGCCTTTGTAGGTGATCAGACATCTCTAGGAATAATGAAAATTCAGATAATTTGGTCAGTCATCTTCAGCAACTAGCCAAAAGTGATGGATGTAGGAAGTGCTGAGAGGTCGGTACACATCACCTCAGTGTCTTCATGCTCAACGTACACAATAGGAGTTGATCGGCACATCTTTTCTTTGCCCCGAAACCGGTTTCTGCACGCGTGTCCTCGTATGATACCCATTTCTAGCAGGTGATTCATCGTCTTTGACTCCTTTGTTTCACAGTCTCTATAGCACAGCGCATTCACTGTGTTTGCTCTGTCCAAACTTTGTCCTCAACCACCTACTGCGGACACCACCAACTGTCGGCTCTTTCATTTCCTTTGACCCCGGAATCGTCCTTTGTGTACAGTCAGGATTGTTTTTTGAGGCGGGACCTTTTAAAGTTGTCAACCCATTCTAGTTGGAGTTTGCCAGTTTGGATCTTCTTAAGCATGCTCATTGAATCTGTCCCTATCAATACAGGAGTGGCTTTTTGTTCAGCCAACCACTCCTCTGTGACAACTGCTATCTCCAACGTCATGCTAGAGGTTTGACAAAAATGAAGCATACAAAATTAGTGCTGGTACTCAACAAAATTGTCTTTTACAGTACCCAAAAAAATCTGTTTTTGAGTGTAAAGAGTTGAATTAAGAATCGACATCTTCACCTGCAAACACAAGAGTTCTAGTTCCAATGGCCCCTAGCAACAGTCTGATTGTGTATCCTTCCCTTGAGGGGATCGCGTTAGTGCAGTCGATAGGAGACTCGCTTTCAAATCCAGCTGCGACTTGTTGCAACCCACCCACGGTTGGTGTTTGAAACCGGGCGGTTCCCGAGGTTCACCCAGCCTCTAGGAAATGGGTATCAGAGTTGACACTGAAGTAAATGGAGGAACGTCGATGTAGCTACGGAGTTGCGTGTGGACGGTGACACAGGCGGACAGTTTCTTATCAGCTGTCTGTACTGGTGGCAGGGCACTTATGGTTTATAACCGTGTGCAGTGACGCTGGTTCACATCTCCCGACTTTACCTTTACCTTTTTTTTTTTAAATCTTTCCCTTGAGTGTTGGGCGTTGGCCATATCCCCTGGCTAAAAGACAAGAGGCTGAAACTGCATAACTTTCTGTACAACCAGAAAAAGAAAAGCCATATGATTATCTGTCATATTTATTGTATCATTGATTATATCTTACCTGCTCTACTTGGACACATCCTCAGGGCAAGAAGATTGAGAGGCCCCAGGTCCTCAAGCACAGACCAAAGATCTTCCGGCCCAAGAATAAGGCAGCCAAAGCCGGACCCACCGATGTGGAACAGGGTGAAGCGGGCCCATCATCTGACGGTCTGGAAAGTGTACCTCTAGACTACACAGAAGATCAAGGCCTCAGCGCCGATGAGGGCGAGAAACCTGAAGCCTAGTCCTAGAGTTTAATTAATTTAGCTAAATTTAAGCAAGATAATTAGTTTTTAATTCACGGTTAGTGTCTATTGACGTTTCATTGTTTTATGCCAGTGTGCAATGGTCGATAGGGAGAGTTTTCATTTTGTTTTTCAGTTTGGTTCTTCGGTTATTTAAATCTGGGACAATTATGTTTTTTTTTTTTTTTCTAAGTCTTGATCTTTGAATTGTGTAATGATTCTTGGCTAAAATAGACATTATTACAGAATAATTGGTTTATTTCTGAATCTGGATACATACCCCCCCCCCCTCCCAAAAAAAAAGTCTACAATAAAAACAGCACACCAACCATTATTAAAATCGACAATGAAGAGGTTGACAGTTTCAGATATTTTGAATATGTGCAGACAGGCTCAGTAATTAACAGTGATTACTAACAGCCGCGACTGCACAAAAAAAGTCAGAAAAAAAAAAGAACTCGCTTTATGAGTGCAGAGGTTAAAGAGCATGAAGAACTTATGGTACAATACCTGCAAGCAAGTGGAAGTGAAAAAAAGTTTTGAGATCATGCAACTTTCCGGTGGCAACGTGGACCATAAAGAAGAAAAACGTTGACGTCCTTCATGAACTGAACATCAAGGAGAACTAGCTGATAAACAGCATCTTGTCCAGAAAGATTAATTAGTTTGGACATGCCCAGCGCCATGTTGATCTGAAGAGAACGGAAAAGAAGGGTGCAGTTTGAGGAAAACGAGATAGAGGTCAGCCTCTGCGAGGGATATTGAAGATGCATTGGGAATGAAAGCACACCGGGCTGGAAAGCTGGCTAGAGAAAGAGAGACTTTCAGTTCAAAGACCATTAGATATCAAGAGCTGGACCAATATCAAATACACACACAGAGAGTCTGTTCAAGTAAACTTTACAGCATTGGTATTAAACCCTTTTTTTCAGGGGGCGGCCTCTTGAACATAAGGTAAAACAGACTACTCCTGTCCCAATCCCACCACTGCCGGCTTTAAAAGAAAATATGCCTAGATAGAGGAGGACTGGAAAAAACCAAATCTGGAGCCCAGTTAACAAGAACTTGGATAAAAATATCCTCATCAATCAAAGTCTACAATAACAGTATGTCCTGTTAGTATCGTTACAAGTACAAATACACACGGTTTTAAAAATGGATTAACGCCCTTTTTTAAGGTTGAACGCCACAGCTTTAAAGGTTGTCTTCCTGCCCAGGCGATGGACGAGTGAACAGAAAAGTGCCAAGTCTACTGAAGCAACACGATGCCGGCAGAACTGGTGGCAATATTTTGAAAACTTTAAAGTGTGTATATTTTTTGGAGGTTCCCTAAAATATAATCAAACTAGCCAGATTTAAAGAAAAAAAAAGCGTTTATCAAGAGACAATATGGATTGAGAAGATTCTGGAATATTTAACACAGAGAACCAGGATACATGTGATTTTCAGCTTAGCTCAAATGTAAATTTTCAAATATAAAGATGCAGAAAAGCAGATATAATATTAAAGGAAACGAAATAAATTATAGACTCGTTTTTGATTACTTCTCATTAATTAGCTTACTATGTTATAATTGTTTTGTTAATTTTTACTCCTGTTTAGAATTATACTTTTAAGACTTGTCCTTCTTGATAACAATAAGTTTAGGATGACTAATTTGAATGTATTATTTGAAATAGCAAATTTTGTCATTTATTTTTTTTAAATATTATATTAACATAATTGAAGTGTCCTTATATTGTGTGTCAGTTAAAGGTGTCATTATTTAGTAATGCATTTAACAAATGGTTGATTCTACAGTTTTCATCTCCCTTCATTGAGTTGCTAGTTTATGTATGAGTGTTGTTTTAAGTGTGAACAAAAACAGTTTAGTTAAATAAAAAAAAATTAAAAAACGTTAAAAGAAGAGCAGTAATAAGCGTGGGAAGAAGAAGAGGAGGAAGGTGAGAGAAGAAAAATAAGAAAAAGAGGAAGGTTAAGACGACGATGAGAGCGAGAAGAAGAAAGAGAAGAAGACAGAAAAAGCAAAACAGATGAGGAGTAGAAGCACGAAGAACTGCTCTTTGCCAACAATCAGTGCATATTCCACAGTGAAAGTAAACAGCTGCAGGACCACAAAAAGCAACTAACAATACAATTGCCTTAAACATCACATGAAGATCAAATAAACAAAAACAGAAAGTCATGAGAATAAGTAGAGAGCAACAAACCATCGACATAAAGATCAAAGTCTGAAACAAGTAAAAATAAAAAAAAGTAAAGTTTCCTTTCCACGCCTTTCGGCGCATCGGTCATATGGGCAGAGTGTCCCATATTTTTACAGACCATCAGCACTGTGGGTAATGTGGTCAGCATTACGCCGGCTGTCTTTACTTTCCCAGGACAGCCCATCCTGGTACCCATTTTAGGCTGGGTCGACCTGAAACAAGTGCAAGAATTTAAATACCTGGGAAGCATCTTTACATACAGTGGTATAATAGACAGAGAGATAGAAATGAGAATCCAACAAGCCAACGATGTGACGTACCAACTTGCTGCAAATTTTAAAATACCCAGCTATACCAAAGGAGACAGAAAGACAAATTATAAAAACAATATTTATACTGACTTTAGATTACCAGTGTCAGAGTTGGACTTTGACAACAGAACATGAGATGTTTGAGCATTACTGTAAATAAAACCAGAAGAGATCGAGTGAGAAACGACTTGATCACGAGAACAGTTGGAATAACACCCATTGCCAAATTTATTAACAAACAAAGAATGAAATAGTTTGGCCGTCAAATGAGAATAAAACCAACCATGCCAGCAGCAAGAGGTACAAGAGGGGAAGACCGAGAAGATATGGATTGACGCAGTCACTGACACCCTGAGACTGCATAACATCCCGGCATATCAAGCGATCGAGCGTGCCCTGGCTCGGCAGCCGATCATACGATGAACTGCGACGCCTAGCGGAACAAGCAGATTTTGACAAAAGAAGAGGAAATAACTAGAACTGGCACTTTATGGTTCTCCATAAACTTTACAAAGTAATGCTATTTGTACAAGTTACAACATTTGCTTTTGTGTACAATTTACAACAATTGCTTTTGTATACAATTTACAACATGTGCTTATGTGTACAATTTACAACATGTGCTTATGTGTACAATTTACAACGCTTAGTACCTGTATAATTTACCAATGGTTATAAGAAGCTCTATCAGCGTACGATTATTTAAACAATTCATCCTCGTTACCTGCAGAATTCACACTGTCTTAAATATGGTCAGTGTAAGATTCACAAATATATACATAAATGTGCTCTACTTTAAATGAATTCCTATTGTTACAATACATAGCTTATTGTTAGTTGTAAAATGTGACATAGATAAAATCTACTAATACTGCATTTATTTACCACTTTTGAGGTGTAAAAAAAGGAGAGGGAAGCGTGAGGATTTAGCGCCGCATGGTTAATGCTAGTGCTGTCGCCACCAACTGTGCATGTTAGGATTTTATTGTTCAAGAAACAAAACAGTAAAATCCAAACACTATACAGTAAGTGGTTATCTGCACAATACACATCTAAAGCCAACTGTTACAAATGTCTTTACTCCTTCCCGTCATCATCATTCTTCAGTGTTTCATTCCGCGAATATAAGTGACGTCATCAATAACTGTGTTCCTATAGAAGTCATATCATTCACATTGAGAGTATCACGTGTAACGTATAAGAATCCATATTTATAACAGTTACTCAATATTATGATATTACATGTTTATTCTGCCTGCTTGTATATCCTATTTATTTGCAATCATTAAATTATATAATACTTCTTCGTTTAACACCGTGTATAGAGTTGGTTGCTAACAAATCTGTCTGCACGATTTTCTTGTTTTTATTTCAACAATTATTGTGAATCCTGTGTAAGGCTTTTGTTGTGCCAGTAGTGCATAGCACCGACGTGTAATCCGCCTTGATTTCCACTTCTGTCCAGTTTAGAATAGTGTTTTATCGACCATTTTTTAAAAATGATAACAGAAAATGAACCGATTAGTTCTTTTGTACCGGAAGTTTTCCTACAACTAATGTGAAGCTTTTAGTTTCCTTTGTCTGTTTAACCAAGAATTCCTTCGTTAAAGCAAAGAAGATTTGACTACGATTTGATAATGTTAATATACATTTTGAAGTTATTTCGAAGTTACCTATTTAGGTAATAGGTATCTTTAAGAATGTAAAGTCACGAGAAGTTCAAATGTTCAACTTGGAAGGCGTAAACTCTGATTCAGAAAACTTTATATTTTCTTAGTTAGAGTTTACTACCTTGATTGAGATTTTAAAATAAGAAAAATACCAACCATCTAAGTTATTATTTCATATTTCATCGAGTAACAGCATTCCCAGATGAAAGAGGACTGTGTGAAACTTTATACTCATTTAGTACCAATAAGAAATTGGTGTTATTTAAGCGCAGGCGTGACTCTATCATGAATTAGAATTTTCAGTGAGAGAAACTATATAAAGTTTGTAAGCGAAGTTTGCCAGACTTGTATTTCTAGATCGTGTATCTGTATTCTGCGGTGCCTTGATTTTATTTTCGTTTCTCTTTAAATAAAGAAATGGCATTTTTCATTTCGCCAGAGCAGCGTTCCTGTTGTTACTTTTATGATTGTCGGTAGTCTGTCAGGAGGGTCACCTGGCTCAGTGACAACTGTATTCTCATGCTGAGGACCTAGGTTCCCTGTGGGTTCCGGAAGGCCATTGTTGAGGGGGAAAAAAATAATAGACTCACTCACCCCCAAAACAGCAAGTCGTATATTTAGACTAACTGGAGAGAGAGAGAGAGAGAGAGAGAGAGAGAGAGAGAGAGAGAGAGAGAGAGAGAGAGAGAGAGAGAGAGAGAAGGGGGGAGGGCTTTCTTCAAAGTCCGAATGCATCTACCTGAGAGGCAAGGAACCGACAGTCGTCACTCACATAAGCCAGATCTGTACAACGGATGTGCACGCGACACTTA